AAGTTATTTCTTTTCAAACTATGGCTTTTTTTTAAAAGCCGAAATCCCACTTGATAAGTTGATATTGGAAAAAAGCAACTTTTTTTTTTTTAAAAAGAGCTCAAATCTCATACCTTTTAATGAGACCATAACCATGACTTCCCATTACTAACAGATCCACTTTCAATTTCTCAGCCACTTCACAAATCACGTCCCTTGGATCTCCATGCTCCACCACTGTCTCCACTTTAACCTACATGCACCAAACCACATAGAATTATTATTTTTTAAACGACTCTTTTACCCTTGAAGAAATCTCAAATTTACCAACTCACATCATTCAAGTGCTTGCAAGCTCTTTTCGCCTTGTCAATCACGCACTGAGCCACATCATTGCTGTACCTCTCAAGGCTCGTCATTACATCAGGAGAAAATGCCCACGCTGCGCAATTTTAAAAAAAATTACAATACCACCCTTCATATATCCATTTCAAGAAATGCCCATACAGCACAATTTTACCTGTACCCTCCATGGCTGTGTGGACAGCACGAGGTGGTTTAGCGTAGCAGAGGATAAGGGTATCTTTGGAATTCTCACTAATAACATTTTTGAGACACCATGTGAGTGCATACATGCTTTCATCTCCTTCATCCACTGCTAATAAAATTTTTCGCCCATTTTCTGCCATTGCTAAAAACGCTCTCTTAACTGGGAAAATTTATGTGAAATATTTAAATATGGCTTGGATAATATCAAATCAAATGAGCCGTTGTATATATAGTGTGTGTTTTGAGTGAACTCTGTTGGCGGTTGGTGGTTTCGGAGAAAGTGGGTCTTTCGTTGGTATTCTAATTCCGGTATTGCACACTGCTCTATTCCTCCTAGTCATGTTTATCCAGATTCCAGTTAAAATGGAGGTTAAATTGCACTCGAGGCACTGAATTTTTGTGATACTTTCAACTAGGTTATTAAACTTAAATTTGGTGCAATTAAGTCACTGTATTTTAGTCTACGAGCTAGAGATGGCAACGGGGTGGGTTCGGGGCGAGGGTGCCCCCCACCCCGCCACTCCCGGACTTGCCCCGTTTCCTGCCCTGTTTATTTATTTATTTTTTTCAAAAACTTCCAATTAATTATTTTTTATTTTTAATTTGTAGTTAATTCTTCACGGGGCGGGTTTGGGGCGCTTCGGGGCGGGGCACCCCCTCCCCGCCTTGCCCCACCAACCCGTGGATGTGGGTTTTTTTCGCCCCATTCGGGGCGGGGCCAGTTGGATTTTTTTGCCATCACTACTACGAGCGATAAAATTTCATTTCCGAGCTTGCTAACATGTCCTAACGACTATTGCGAACATGTCAATCTATTTCTCACGTTAGATAATCTAAAACTATACTGGAGGTTATTGAATTTTCATCGTGCTTGAACTTCAATTTAGTGCAATTAGCAAGGTATGAAATAATTTACGAGCAAATAGGTCACTTTTTTGGGTTTGTCAATATGCCTACCAAAGTTAGGTAATATCCCCTAACATCCTACTATGAGCGTGCGTGTCAGACATTCGATACACATTGGTTGATTTAAAATCGTAATTTGCCCAACATTCAATGAATTCTTATCACCTGATTATCTGTCAATCTATCTTTATAATTCTTCTGTACATATAGCAAGATGTCGTGTGGGCTATTGGACCTCTCAATTGCAATGTTAACCATATATTGACTAAGCCCTCATTTGGCTCCATTAAATATAATTTATTTTCTCTCTTCTTATTAATCATATATTTTTTAATAAAATAATATTATACGTAAATTTAAGAACTCTTCTTTTTTTCTTTTAACTATACATTCTCCAAAAAATTATTATTTCTCTCATTATAATGTGGAATAACGAGGATCAAACGAGCACTAAAGCTCCACATCACCAATTGAGTTGTAGGGTCGCAACTCGCAACAGCAATTCCAACAATCATGCTATACAAAAAGGCTGGATTAAAAATAGGGAGAAACGTCTCACAACTCCATTGGACACCTTTAAGAAAAAAAAAAAAAAATTAACCAAAATGTCACGTGTCCCTACCCCTGCTTGAGTTCTAATGGATGAAGCACTTTGCATTGGAAAAATAAAAATAATGACCGCCACGTCTCTCTTTGACCTGTAGTGTCTTGTCAGAAGTTGCGTGAGAGATACAATGACAAAACCCAAAACGACAAGAGACGGCTGTGAATTCTCACGTGTTCATCATCACCTATCCGACATGAAAAAATCTGCTTGTGCCGACTAATGTATACTGTACTGTGTGTGTTTGAATTTAATTTTGAGAAGAATAGAAATTTTAGAATAGTGATTGATGTGAGAATGTGTGGTGAAAAAGTGATGAAAAGTTTTTGATTTGTGTATAATATTATTTTATTTAGAGAATGTGTGGTTGAAATGAAGAATGAGAATGAGAATGGAAATGAGAATGAGAAATTAATGGGTGCCAAACGGGGGCTTAATATTTAAAGGTTTTTGACAAATAAATATACAATGTTATTTATCTCGAGGAGTATAATAT